AAATATTCTCATACTGCGTTCTGATTTTTATGCTGTCCATAAATATCTTCTGGTGACTCAGCATGATGACTCGTAGGTGTCATGATTACGCTTGGTGACTCAGCATGATGACTCGTCGGTATCATGATTACGCTTGATGACTCAGCATGCTGACTCAGCATCGTCATGATGGCTCTTAGATATTTTCTTTGGTTTTGTCTCCTATTTAGGGGACAAAATTATTTAATATTTGACTGGAGCATTTTATTCAATCCAGAGCTCCAAAAATTCATCCAAAAATATCATAAAATTCCTCATATTCTAGAGAAAATTTATGAATTTTCTCAGGTCATAACTCAACCTGTAGCCCTGCTTAAAAATCATTCTTTAAAATGCCCTTTTTCGGCACAACTGGTTTTTAAGTATTCTTAAAGCCATTTTACTGGTCTTCTGGGGATGAGACTAATTTTATAATTTTCTATAGTCTCTTAGGTCATACATCCCCATTTTACCATAATTTTCTGATCATGACTCAAACAATTAAATCTACCTCTACATCTCAAATTGAGCTATAAACTTATAAATTCCTTTTAAGTTATCTCAGGGGTATTTTCGTCATCTCTTTTCACAAAAGAGCCTTAGAATATTATTTCCCATTTTCTAGGATTTTCTTAGAATTTTCTAAATACTTTCCATTTTTACCCTGATGGCTGTAACTTTATGAATTTACGGTTTTACCCCTGCTTAGGCTCAACCTCATAAAACCATCTCTTTGAGGCTTCTAACTTAACCTTTGGTCTGTATCTAGCCTCTTTTCTCTTTCTGGGCCTTTGAGACTTTACTGGAGCCTCTAACTTTGATTACCCTTTAGCCCCTTAAAACTTTCATTTTGCAGTTTAGTCCCTGAAACTGCTTTAACTTCCTTTCTCATCTTTAGGACCTCTACTAAAAAGGGGTCTGGTAGCCTATCTCATTCAGGCTATTTCTGATACTTCTAGGCCCAAAAATCGAGATGTTACAACACTTCCTTTAAGCTTAGCATAAAAATTATTTATTAAAATGCCCTTAACCTGCATAATTGAGCTTTCTATTTTATTCTAGCCATTCTGCTAATCTTGTAGAAGCGAGACTAATTTTATAAATTAACATAGCCTTTAAGCTTCATAACCTCATTTTTGAGATCTCTTGCTATCTCAAATAATTACCTCAATCAGTGTACTTTTTACCGGGTCATAATCTTATAAATTCTATTTAAGTTATCTCAGGGGTATTTTTATCATTTCTCTTCACAAAAGAGTTCTATAATGTTATGAGATTTTTTGTAAGAATTTTCTGTATACTTTTATTTTTACCCCTATTGGCCTGTAACTTTCTAAAATTATGATTTAATTCCTACTTGGACTTAACATCATAAAACATCTCTTTGAGGCTTTTAACTTAACCTTTAACCTATATCTAGCCTCTTTTCTCTTTCTGGGCCCTTGAGACTCTCCTGGAACCTCAACATTACTTACACGTTTGCCTCCTAATAACTTTCTTATTTTGCAGTTTAGTCCCTTAAACTGTTTTGACTTTCTTTCTCATTTATGGGACTTCTACTCCGAGGGACTTTGTAGCCTACTTACTTTGGTCTACTCCCAGTGCTCTTAGACCTAAAGATTGGGAAGTGACAATGATTAGTAACACCAATCATTTTTACAACCAATGTGTATAAGCTGAGTTTGCAATAGTTGTATAGATGCCCGCTGTAAATAATTAATATTACATTGGATGTGTGCATTTTCGGTGTAAAAATTGTATCGTCATCTACAAAAATACTACTGCCTTATTTGCTATATCACATACACAATAATTGGTGCAGATAAGACGGTGTAAAAACGGTCTTTTCTAGTAGTAACTATTTTGAGATTTAGAATTTCAAATGGTACTTATTGGTCTTTTTCTCAAATATCAACATTGTGCCATATGAATCTAGCGATCTGTGTTTTTTTTTCATTTCATATTTTCCCAGCTTTAAGGTATATACAGTTTTGTAAGGAAATGGGCCCATTAAATTTTTGCTAAATTTCAACCATGGGAAAACGAACAGTTTTCCTGTGTGTCATAACGAATACAATTGACCCACTTATTTTGTTATATTACTCTTTTTTACTTGAAAACTTCTGATTGTCACTACAACAAAATGTGTTATTTACCTCACTTATTTATGTCTGTTCTAAAAAACAGAGGAGAAATATATAGTTTTTATGTTTTTTTACACAAAATAGACATTCCTTCATGTCTGTTTACACAAAACAGACACGAAGTAACGTCTGTTTAATAAAAACAGACATTAATTCACGTCTGTTTGGTCCAAACAGACATGAATTAATGTCTGTATACAAACAGACGTTACTTCACGTCTGTTTTTAAAGAAACAGACGTGAAGGTGGCTTATTTTTTAAAAAAATTCGCCCTCATCAGCTTCATATCAGTACTACGAAGCTAATTTAGTCACCAGCCAGTGGACAGCGTGCGCGGGCACTTTGATTTTTTGCTCTCTCCCTCTCATTTTTGTCTTCTACCTGCAGCAACCATGAGCTATTCTAAAACTCTCCCTCTCATTTCAGCTCTCTCAAGGCCGTTATTCTGTAGCTAGCCCTCACTCCATTGTCGCCATTTTGCATCAGCTATCATTTTTGTGTTGCAGTAGCTCATCACCGTCGATTAACAAGGCTGAAGCAGTGAAGTTCACACGCACAACAGCTTGTCGTCCTCCTCGTCTCTCCAGGCCGTGATACTCTCTGATTTGAAGGCAAGCCAGAACAGTTTCAATCTACAGTGAAGGTAAGTTCATTCAACGGATGTGTTGTGGGTTTAATATGTTGTACGTGGGTTTGTGTGACTTGAGGAATTTTGAGTTGGTTTCTAAGGTTTCTGTTTAAACTTTTATTGAAGAATTGTGTTTAGATAGTTTTAAATTTGTATATATTGATTGGGTAGAAAATTTAAAGATTTCAAGCCTTGTTAATACTTGTTAGAAAAATAATACATATAAGGTGTTTGTTAAAATGTCTAAGAGAGATTGCATTTAGATAGTTTCCTATATGTATTGAATTTAGATTAAGGATTGAGTATACATTAAATTATTAATGAAAAAATTGCATTTAGATAGGTTGAAATTTGTTTACATTGATTGGGTAATAGATTTGAAGTTTAAAATCCTTATTAACTAACTTGTTTGAAAATTAATACATCAAAAGTGTTTGTCAAAATGTCTAAAAGAGAATTTACCTATATGCATTGAATTAGAATGTTGATTACATTCAAAAGGAAGCTTTAAAAATGGGATGTTTATTAATTGGATAATGGATTTGAAGATTAAAAAGATTGTTATGAATTAATTATTTGTCAATGGAAAGCTTTGTTCTAATAATTTTTGGATTTTTATTATGTTATATGTAAAATCTCCACTACTTGTAAAAGTAATTTTTATGTCTTTTTAAATTTTAGGAATTGGCATGATGATATAGTCATTATGAGATGTTTTATGTTGTAATTTGGATGAATCGGATTCAATTGATATTATTAGTTTTGAATTTGGTTAATGTTTATTGGGACTGTGCTGAATGATAAAAATCACATTTTTAACCTCTATTTTACACCAAAACAGACGTGAATTTACTTCTGTTTTACCAAAACAGACATAAATTTATGTCTATTTATCCGAAAACAGATGTGAATTTATGTCTGTTTTAGCAAAACAGACATCAATTCACGTCTGGTTTAAGAAAAACAGACGTAAATTTACGTTTGTTTTTGGAGAAACATAAGTAAAAAAGTGATTTTTTATTTCTGTTCAAAACAAACGTAAATAATACCATTATTCTCTTCTGTTCAAAACAGAAGTAAAAAGGGGGTACTTTTTATGTCCCTTCTTTTCATGTCCCCCGCAAAACAAAGTAAAAAGTCATGCAAAACAGAAGTAAAAAGTCTTCATTGTAGTAGTGTGTGATCACTATTGTGTTTGAGTGACATCTACAATTTCTCTTCACTTAGGGAAACAAATTCGTGATTCATGAAAATTTACATAAGAAAATTTTGTATGATTTACACGAAAACTATCCATTCAAATTCTCCAAATTAAGCATCCCTCGTTAAACATGCTGTGCAAATTCAAAATAGAAATTTTATAACGTTTAATATCCGAATTATAATTATAAATTTAATATTAGAAAATTTTTTTTTCCCCAAAAAAAAAATCAATCAAAATTAGCGAGAAGGAAAGATCTCAAATATAATGTAACTATGTAAGCCAAGGGAAATTTACCGATTTAGGGACTCAAACTTGGAAAACGACAACGGTTAATGAAATCTAATAAAATAGATATATAATATACTCAAAAACAGATAAAACACTAAATATTGGTTGGTGGAGCCTAGAGAAAATTAGGGAGACCAGTCCAGTCCACCGTGGGTTTTGCCTGTTATTTCCAAGTGTGCCATGGCGTGGGGTGGCGTATGTCCATGTTGCTTTGAAAGCCATAAATAATAAACACAAATCGCTGTCATTCTGGGATGGAATTTACCATTTTTAATACTTTTGCTTTGTTGCCTCCTTTCTGTTTTTTACCTCACAGTCAAATGGGTGTCAAAAACTGAGCTGTAAGCCAGTAGTAACCTCCACTGGAATCCCACGTTAAAACTCGTCTTCATTTCCAACCCTGTCTCAAACCGCCTTCCAAGCTCCTCCCTCTGAATCCCTACCTGCCTTGATCCCCCACCTTTCTTCTTTCTCTTTTCTTTTTCCTTCATTCCCAGAAACCCCACAAAGGCGGCCGGCGATGAGGACGAACGTTACTACATAGAATACCACATAGAATCTGGTAAGCTTGCTCCTCTTTTTATCGTCAATGATAGCATAATTGATGGTATGCATGTAAATATTATAAAATTGGCGTAACACAATAAAGGCTGATGATAAACAAACAAATAAATAAATATACAGAGAAACGAGGGTCAGCAGTCCAGAAAACGTGTTGATGGCGACCAATAAGGAGGAGGCAAAACATGAAAGGAAGGCACTTGGGATGACGGGTGAAAATGGAGGAAGTGGCACGGTGTCGGAGGAGGTAGTTCTAAAGAAAGGACCGTGGACGGCGGCGGAGGACGCGGTTCTGGTAGAGTATGTGACAAAGCATGGAGAAGGGAACTGGAATGCAGTACACAAAAATACAGGACTAGCTCGTTGCGGCAAGAGCTGTAGGCTGAGATGGGCGAACCATTTGCGACCCAATTTGAAGAAGGGTGCTTTCTCTCCTGAGGAAGAGAAGCTCGTCCTAGAGCTTCATGCGCAGTTTGGTAACAAATGGGCCCGCATGGCTGCTCTTGTGCGCAACCTAGCTTGTTTAATATTTTCTCTTCGTTATTGTATCGTCCCTGATGACGTGATTGATGTTTTCCTATGTTTCTGAGGTGTAGTTACCTGGGCGTACGGACAATGAAATCAAGAATTATTGGAACACAAGGGTGAAGCGTTGTCAACGGCAAGGACTGCCTCTTTATTCCGATGAACCTGGTCGTTCCACTACCTCTGCTAAACCCATCGCCGTCGGTCTTCCTCCTCCTGCCTCACAGATCGAGTTCCTTCATCACCATCACTATCACCCTTTGTCTTCTCCCACCCCACCTCCCCATTCTCCTCTATCATCGCCACTTCAGCCTAAACCTTCCATTTCTGACCCCATGATTCCTCTTTCTTCCCCTTCTTCTTCTACGTCCTCTCATTCCTTCATCTTCAGCCGCCCCACTCCACTTCTGTCTAACCCACTTGGCTTCAAGCGATTCCGCACTTCTTCTGGTTATCCCATACGAGTGGCTCCCACTACTATTGTAACCTCTACTTCACTTCCAGATCAGCCACTGACGGCGGCTCAGTCTGTCGAGTATCCTGGATTCCGATTTACTGGTCAAGTTAACTCTGGTTTATCTCATATTTATCATGCTCCATTGTTAGAGTACAATCGAGGAGGGATTTTCAACCAATTTGCTAATTCTCCTGCAAAACTTGAGCTCCCTTCAAACCAATTTTCCCAGTCTAATATTATACAGCCAGAGAGTAAGTTTAACATCCAAATGAACAATGGTGGTGCTATGAAGAACAGTGGCGGTGGTAATGGGTTTCTGAGAGATCCTCTCTTTGAAGCTCAGACTTTGACATCTGACCAGACGGCACTAAAGAAACGAAATTACTTCTATCCAGATGAATTGCATCTTAACTCTTCTGACTGGTCTTCAAATGCAGGTTAATAGTTGATCTATCAGTTATTTAATTAAATTTCTATGTCTTAAATTTCTGATCTCTTGGTGATTTGGTTGAGAGTTTGCTTATTTTCTTCATGCACGACCAATATCACCACAATACGAAAAAGAAATACATTTAATATCAATTATAAAATGGTAGTTAAGAGAACATACATTATTGCAACTCATTCTCATGCACCTGCTAACTAACCCTCTAGATTCTTCGCCACTCACACTTCGGCATGGATATATATGATCCATTCTGCATGAAAATCTATTTCTTCACTACTGGTCGATCTATATTAAGTCTGGGTATTTTCCTCGGTCCTTAGAAATGCTCAATATTGTATGCACTATCTGAGTTCATGCTGCTCTTGCTTTCCTCCGTAATGGCCTGGCGCGGTTCTACTATTCATGTGATGTCCGATTCCGATATAGATTTGTAATTAGACATGCCTAGGTTATTCCCTGATGATGTAAAAGAATATCCTAATATTATCAAGCAAATTTTATACAGTATCTTGATGAGATTAATTAATAAAAGATAAGAAAAAAGAAAATAATTGATAAATGAAACTTAATTCTCTTCTGGTTGGAGGCATACAGAACGTCTTGATCTTCGTGAGATAAACTGTACAGTGATATACATGTGATACATGATGAGCTGTTATGATATGCTAAGGGGTATTTATGTATTCCTGGGAAAAAATGGGGTATTTATATACTGTGTTATTCTTCTTTATAACTAGCATCAACCTCTTCTGAAACAAGGATTTTATAATTTCTTTCCAAAATTTTGTCTAGTGGTGCATTATCTGTTAAATAAAATAGTTGGTTCACTAAGGGGGGGGGGAATAACTAGTCACCTGATAGCTAGTTAAAGAGGTTGATTAAGATTATATTGTGGTCTTTAAGAAATAGCATTAGTTTCTTGACATTTATTTGTATTTTATAAAATTAATTAATATTAAATTTCTGATAGGATACTCCCCTTTATTATAAACGTAGGAGTTAAATAATTAATGTGTAAATATTAAAAAAAATCGGTTAAGTTAATTAATTATTTGTAAGATATATGTTTGTTTCCCTAGAGTACCATTTTAATTATTGTCATTTGAATATCGCTCTCTTAATTAATTGAAAATCCTCTTACTAGGTGCAATAAATATGGAGAGTTTATGAAATATTATTATAAATTTAGAAAATAAAGTGAATTGATCAAAACAAACTCATTTACTGGCTCTTTCATTGGTCAGAAGAGTACTTACTTATAATTTTCTGGGGCTTCTTTCAAAATTTTCCTCGTCAACTAACAATTAAAATAACATATGTTTAAGTTAGAGATAACATTAAACCTTTTTAATACTTTAAGGGTGACATCACATTATTTGTATAGTTTATGTTTTCATTGCCCCTAAAAGAATAGCTTAACGGAAAAATCCCTTTAAACCTTTAAAATATCATGATTGATTTTTTGTGCGAGATTAAAGCTAAATAGAATATGGATTGTATATAATAGGATACACTGCATTTTTTATAAATTATATGCACTCACACGCATGCTTTTCACGTACATTCGCCCAGTCGAGTTGAAAAATAACTGAAAACTACTAGTTATATTAAATAAATAAAAATTCGAGTTGGCAAAAAAATAAAAAACAAACAAACAAACAAACGTATCCTTTTTTAATACATTAACATAATTAAACTGTTTTTCTAATCATATGTTGATGATATATTTTGTTGTGCACGTTGATAATAGATGATTAGCAAGACTATATGCTTCTAATTTAAATCTTCAGAGTGTTTTTGAGGCGGAAAGACATATAATTAAGTGAAGTCACATCATATGCAGAACTGGAACTGAAGGAAGAAGCACAAGATAACCTGAGTAAATCCATGAACGACGACTTATCTTCAATGCTTGCCGTCATGCCATCGACCCTGTCAATTTCAGATTGGCCTAACGGCGGCAGTGCTGCAGAAGAAGTTTCTGCCAATGTTCAATCTTCTGGTGTCATTCCAGACGATAATTTTGGACTTGACAATAGACCCATTGCTTCTTTCTTTCCCATAACAAGCACAACAAATCAGAATGACAATTCTGGATGTTACTCTTGGGACGACTTACCAGGATTTTGCTGATGTTGGTTCCGATACATGTTGTCGTCAACCGTGAAAATTATACTTCAATGCTATAAATTTTATAAGTGAATTTTCTATTTTTCATGCAATGTAAGATCTATTAAGGGTTTGAAACTACCCTCCACTTCCATGGGGCATGTGTTATATATATACTTCGAACCCCCTTTTTTTTTTGGCAAACTGTCTCCTACACCATCTTTACTTGACTTTTTGCTCATAAAAAATAGTTACTAATTTGACTATTTGGAATGTTATAAATATAAATATAAAACAAGAAGTGCATACTAGGTCGAATCCATGTTTGGATCGAGGTCACTCCTGTGGAGCTCCACAAGTTGATCCACAGTGCTTACACAGAATTTAAGCTACTAGAGCCTAAACTTGAGTGGCACAATAGAGCACCATAAGAGAGAGTATGAGAGAGAGAGAGAGAGAGAGAAGAGAGATAGTCAGAAAACTCAATGATTAGGGTGAGCTAAACTAATGGATGAGAGCCTCTATTTATAGTGTTAAGAAGGGATATTTTGGGAATGCAAAATGCCTACAATACCTATCAGTTCAGATATATTCTTAATATCATATCCTTTTATCTCAATTAGTAAGATAATGAATTGAATTTAAAAAGATTTAGATCTTTATCATATATTCTCAACTTTGGTTTATTCTAGATTAAATTCTTGATTTAATCCATATATATTATATATAGATTATCTAGATATATAATATAAATTGAATTACTTATTTAATTTATATTATATTTAAGAGGATGATTTTCCCTATTAATTGACTCAATTAATTGGAATATAATCATACTTGATTGTTTTATTTAATTGGGATTTTCTCTAATTTTCCAATCAAATAGTTTGGCCCATCAAGGGCAAACCTAATCCAAAATTCAGCATCTCCTACTCGTACTTGATAGGTTAGTCATCATGCAATTATCAAATCTCTCTTGCTTCGTACTCAGTGTATGTTGTGACCATATGGGCCAACATCTTTAATTCTGAATGCATGCTTGTGTGCTGGAAGTCCCTTATATGGGAATAGCACACAAGTACCACTTAGATGTACCTATAATTTTACATATTGCTTTGAATGTCCTACATTTACTTATACACCTCACCCATGGCATATCTAATCCCTCTCGAGTTAATTCTTGATTAACTCAGAGTGCCTCTTCATGTGCATAGCATCCATAGTTACAAGTTTGCACCAGCCAATCTCTGAGTCTAACATTTTAACTTTCAATCCTAAAAGGGAAGTCTATATTTTTCTTGCTCCTTGCCTCAATTGACTATACAGGTTGCTAATGAAATCCTTTTTTCTAGCTTAGTAAGTGTAACATCCTGAGTTTTATCGGGTTTTAAACATCTCTTTTGGTTGACTTTGAGGATAGATTAGTGATTTAAATGTTGATCTTAGTGTTTGGGTTGGAATTGAGGTTTGTTGGAGGAATAGGGGAACGTACCCCTCTCAGGGTATGTTCGCCGCGGCGAACCGGGAGTTTCAGGGGGGAGTATCTTCTCGGGGAGGTTTGGCCGCGGCGAAGTCTTGGGGACGCCGCGGCGAAGTTGTTCAGGTAAGCGAGAGTTTCCTCTCGGGAAGCTTTCACCGCGGCGAAGTCTGGTTTTTAGGCGAGTAATCCCTCTCGGGATTAGTTCTCCATAGCGAAAGAGTTCGAATCTATATAGTCGCGGGAGGGGTTCAGTGTGTGAAAATTAGAAAAATCTGAGGTAGAGAGAGAGGCTCTGCTAGGGTTTTGAATTTCTAGCTTGGAGGGGGCATTTTAAGGATCCATTACCTCAAGTAAGTGATTTTAACCTTTAATCTACTTTCTTTCTTGGAATTTCTGAGGATTTGTGGTGAAACCCTAGGATTTTCTAGGTTGTGATGGAATTGAGGTTTTTGACCGATTGTTTTGAGTTTAATTGATTGCTTTGGGTTAGTTTAAGTATTTAATCGGTGTAGTTTTCTTAGATTTAAAGAATCTTGAATTTTTGGAGTTAGGGTTTATGGAAATGGGAGATTTGGGATTGAGGATGATAATGTAGAGGTTGATTCTGAGTTTTGTGATTTGGGTTATGTTAAGGAGGGTTAAATTGGATGTTTAATCGGTTTGGATTGTTGTTAGAACTTCAATTGTTCAAATGGGATGCTTGGGTGTAGAATTCCTATAGTGGGTCCTTGAGGTTTGAACTCTAATTGATGCTTAAAAAGGGGATTTGATGTTTTAATAGACTTTTATGACTTTGGAGTGTTGTTTTGATGGTTATACCCTTTAAGTTGGGTAGAGTTTGGTTGGAGCTAGGAATTTTGTGTCCCCAAGTATTGTTTTGGCCACATTATTAGTTTGAAAGCTAATATATGTTGGTTGTGTATTTGTGTGCTTGTGTAGACTAGTTGTGAGCCCTGTTGGTGCACGGGGCCGTCTTGTTGGTTTGTTATTCCTTGCTCAAGCGAGAGGTAACCACTTTCCAATCCTTAGTACCTGCTTCTGTGGTATTCTGAGTAGATTTATGTTTTGTGCTCCGAGTAACAATTATATTCAAAGTGTATGTTGTATATATCAAAAGGAAAAACCGTCTTGTGGGGTTTCGATTGATGATGAATGAATCTTGGAATTGTGAAAGATATGCTGTAACATCCCGATTTTTGGGCTCTGAAGTACTAGAAATAGCCTGAATGAGATAGGCTACCAGACCCCTTTTTAGTAGAGGCTCTAGTAAAGTCTCAAAGGCCCAAAAAGAGAAAAGAGGCTAAATACAGACCAAAGGTTAAGTTAGAAGCCTCAAAGAGATTGTTTTATGAGGTTGAGTCTAAGCAGGGGTAAAACCGTAAATTCAGAAAGTTACGGCCATCAGGGGTAAAAATGAAAAGTACTTAGAAAATTCTAAGAAAATCTCAGAAAATGGGAAATAATATTCTAAGGCTATTTTGTGAAGAGAGATGATGAAAATACCCCTGAGGTAACTTAAAAGGAATTTATAAGTTTATGGCTCAATTTGAGATGTAGAGGTAGATTTAATTGTTTGAGTCATAAGAAAACCTCAGAAAATTATGGTAAAATGGGAATGTATGATCTAAGAGACTATAGAAAATTATAAAATTAGTCTCATTCCCAGAAGACCAGCAAAATGGCTTTAAGAATACTTAAAAGCCAGTTGTGCCAAAAAAGGGCATTTTAAAGAATGATTTTTAAGGAGGGCTACAGGTTGAGTTATGACCTGAGAAAATTCACAGATTTTCTCTAGAATATGAGAAATTTTATGATATTTTTGGATGAATTTTTGGAGCTCTGGATTGAATAAAATGCTCCAGTCAAATATTAAATAATTTTGTCCTCTAAATAGGAGACAAAACCAAAGAAAATATCTAAGAGCCATCATAACGATGCTGAGTCAGTATGCTGAGTCATCAAGCGTAATCATGACACCGACGAGTCAGCGTGCTGAGTCATCAAGCGTAATCATGACACCTACGAGTCATCATGCTGAGTCACCAGAAGATATTTATGGACAGCATAAAAATCAGAACGCAGTATGGGAATATTTTAGACAGTCTTTTGTCTACCCGTTATAGTGAAATCTCTACTGCATGACTCAGTAAGGTTAAGTAGCCTGTCAGTAGAGCTAATTATTTTTCCCTCTGCTCCTCTAAGGTGGCACCATATATGTACTTATTAAGATGAGAAAATAGTGTTAGAACATGTCCTGGTGGTACAGGGTAAGTCAAGACCCGAAAAGTATCCGATACGGTGCAAGATTGGCTTGATAGGTGGAGAAATAATTAAGAAAATATTTTTACACGAATTTTCCATTTATTTTCTCCTTATTTTAATGCCATAAATGATGAAAGGACATGAAAGTGACAAGTGTACGGTTAGATGAGAAAAAGAAAATATTACGTGTACGGCTAGATGGAAGACACGTGTACAGTCGGATGCAAGACACGTGTGCGGTCGGATTAAAGACATGTGGCTTGATGATGTAAGCATGATGTCATCATGATGAGGTAAGCATGATGTCATAGGACACTTGTCACCGTAAGATCAAAAGAGAAAATGGACGGTCCAGATCGAGCCACGTATTTTTAAGATCAACAGTCCAGATTCAGTCTGTTTTTCTATAAATACCACCTCCCCTCCCTACCATTTCATCCAAGCATAAGGAATCCATGGGGAAGCTCTTGAAAAATGGTTTCTAGAGAGAGAAAGAAGAGGGAGAAAGAAAGGCCAAGTGGTTCCAAGCCAGATCAAACTCTAAAACAAGGTATGTGATGGTTATAGCACCTGATTTTATGCCTATTTCGGATTAGTTACTCTGCGTATCTGATTCTGAAATTTTGCATGGTTAAAGTACACTCTGTGAGCTTTAAATCCATAGGTAGAACACTTTATTTGGATATGTGTACGATTTATGGTGATTTTTCAAAGTTAGGGTTTAAAATCTGGAAACAGTGTTGAACTTTTGGAAGAGTTTCGAGTTCCGTACAGTTCCGGTACTATTCGGCGTAGAATTGGTTCCTGAAACTAATTTTCATGTAAATTTAACTTAAGGATCATTCAGTGAGACTTAGAATCACTCAATTTGGATTTTTTGAGAATTAATTATGAATTTTCAAAGTTGAGCAAAAATTCTGGAAATTCTGCGTGAACAGTACCCGCGAACCAAAATTTCCAGATTTGGTATTCTTGAATCTAAGGCCATCTAAAGTGGTCTTAATTGACAAGAAATGGATCTTAAGGATGGGAAATGATAAGATTTATATTATAAAAGTTAGAAAGAAAATCCTAAGACTAAGAGAAAGGGTTGAGGTTCAAGAAAGCTAGTCTTGAACTTTATATCTAATGGTCCTAATGGATTGTGTGATCATTATGGTTATGTTTAGGACCTTTGGAACATCCAAGAGGATGTTTGGTGATGTTGAACAAATGCCCACAAGGTTAGAAAGTCATGGGAGTCAAAGGAAAAGTGAGAGGAAAGCTTGAGGTGCAAGGTAGT